ACCTTCCGGGACGCGGAGGGACAGGGTCCTGCAACGGGGGAACGCGCAGGGGACCCCGGAGCCCAGCAGGGGCCACTAGCGCACCGCCTTCTTGGAAGCTGGGCAGCACCCGCAACCGCCGCTCGACCGCACCCTGTTGCGGCGACCGACGCGACCCCGCCCCCGCGGCGGGCCAATCACGCCCCCTCGACCCGCCTCCTTCCCGGCAGGCCCCGCTCGGGTCCGCAGCTCCCCGGGGCTGGGTGCTGCCTAGCGGTGCGCGGGTGGAGGCCGCCTTGTGCCTTTCCCTTCCTCCTCCCGCGCCTCCTCCGCCCTTGCCGAGCGGGAGCCCCGCCCCGGCTGCTCCCCGCCCCGCCCCGGGCCGGGGCAGTGACCTCCACGGGTCTGGCACCTCCGGGAGAGGGAGATTGCTTCATTTCGGATTGGCCCCGCCGTTGCTAAATGGGAAAACCGCAGACGAGGCAGTCAACGACTGCATCCGGCCCCCGGATGTTGGGTACCCTGGCTGGGGTAGGGGACCTAGCTGGGAACGCGGCCGCAGTCCCCTCTCCCTCCTGTCCTTGGGGTGCGAAAGTGGGGATCGGAGAATCGCCACTGAAAAGATAACACGCAAGTGAGTGTTAGAAGTAAATCGAGTTTATTTGTGTTCATAGAACATACCGGACGGCCCTACAGCCGCCCCTAGACAGCCCACCAACCCTAGACTCCGTGGCTGCTGCTTGGGGCAACTTCGACGAACTCCAGGGCCAAGGATATTATTAAGGATATTATTGCCGAAGTCTCAGCAGATCCGCGGGGTTGAGATGCTGGGAGGACCGCGGGTGTCACCCCCTAAGCCTACAACCCACTACCGACCTTGCCTCCCGGCCCGGGCGCCCTTTCGGACCCGGGTCCCCCTTCCAGTCTCCCTTATTTTTAGGCGCCCTCCCTCCACCTAGCCTACAAAGCTCAATAAATAACAAGCGATCCGTATCAACAGAGAGGAGCACATCTCGCACCACTGCATAAGTTAAAATAAATATTACATACACCCCTCCGTCTCCTGAGGTATACATAAATACATTTAAATATTAATTAGGAGCAATGAAAATAATTTAAAGCGGCCCTGCTTCCCCACCGGCCCAGCCCGGGCAGGGTGCTCCCAGGGCGCCGCCGGCGTGTTCCTGTAGTGTTCCGAGTTTGAGGTGCCTCCGGAGTCCCAGTTTGGGGTACGCTCGCGCCCACCAGCAACTCCTGGTGTTTCTTTGTTTCAGATTTTTTCTGGGGAGTGTGAGGAGTTACGGTTAGAAGGCGGCCGGGTGTTGCTGGAGGAAAGTGCTGAAGTCCAGAGAATAGTCCGAGGGCTCCGAGGTCAGATTTAGCGGCTCGAAGACCGGGGGCTCTGGGGTGGGCGCTGGGGTCGCGGGGCTGGAGTCGTCTTCCCCGGCCAGAGGCGCCGACACACCTTCTTCAGCCATCAGGATCTGGCAGAAGATGATGGTAAGCAGGATAAAGAGGAGCCTTTTGGCGGGATTCGGATCCTCGGCTGGCAGCTGGCGCCGCACCTGAGCGGAGACAACGAAGGAAACCGGTCAGCTCGATGCCCCGGAGTAGCCCGTTCCCCGTGCCATGCCCGCGGCTGTCCACTTCGGCGACACTTACCACTCTGGGGTAGAGGACCCTACGGCTGCGCTTCCGGAGCCCGCGTGAGATGCTGGGGCGCGCGGCTGGGGCTATCGCTGGCTCCGGGAGGGGGTCGAACGTGAAGATCTCCGGTCCTGAGCCCCTCCGGGATCCCGGGCTGTTGGAGGGGACGGGGGTCGGGGCCTGCAGGACAGTCATGGTTGGGAGGGAGCTTCGAGAGTGACACATCGTGCGCTGAGCAGAGAGGAAGTTCAGTGGAGCTCCGAGCCTATCTGCGCTGGCCTATTTAAATGCGTGGAATATTGGGCCCGCCCTTCTCAACTCCACCCACGCCTGGAGCTGTCGGCCTGCCAGAGCCGGCTGGAAATTCCACATTTAGCAAAGGAGGGAGGGCTTGGGGAATTGGCCTAGGCCTCCCTCTCTAGACTCCCAAGCTTGTGTTGTGAGCTGTGAGTGGGGCTGGCACTTTTGGGGACAGGTGACAGCACAAGAAGGCACCTTCGATTTAAGGGAGGCTTCAGCCGCAGGCCACATGCTAGGGAAGGCAGGAGTCTTACATAAGGGGGTTTGCAGGCCCTGCTACAGTAAGAACCCTTCAAAGTCTGGGAACCACAGTTGCATGTACATCTACACATGTGTAGTACACATAGAAAACACACCTGAAGTGGAAAGTGTTACAGAAATAGCCAACACAAGTGAAAACATTAGCGCTCACAGACACAACCCTGCCTGCATCAGCACACAGGAAAACACATGTCGCTACCATGTGCACACACACGCACACACAGCACAATGGTGTAAGGAATGCACAGGGCAGTGTAGCCAAGCTATCTGCTTAGATATGTGCAGACGTCTTCACACAAGGCTGGTGCAGAAGGCTGCAAAGCACAAAGGCAGGAGGCTGGCAGCCGCTGAGATTTGTTCCTGCTGTATAGGTTAAATGATAAAATTTATGTGAAGAACATTTAAAACCATGACACACACATGATGCAAATATTTTGGAATGGAATTATGACAAAAGTGGCACATTTGATCACTGGTGGTGTATGTGTGTGTGTGTATGTGAGAGACAGAAAGAGAGGGTTTATCAGAGACAGTGGGGAGCAGAACAGGCAGATCTACTGAAATATACTGCTGAAGGGAGTAGCAGGTGAGACATGAGAGGTCTGCTGCACTATCCCTGGCTAGGTATAGAATTAGGGCTACAGTAGCTGCAGATAGCTTCAAAGTCCTGAGACTTAACCCCTGCACCACCAGGAAGGCCCTAAATAAAATAAATCTTCTTAAAAAAAAGATTTATTTATTATGCACTGGGGTGTAAGCCAGAAGTGGGTGAGGTGGAGGGTGGCGTGCTGCAGTTTCTGCTGATTACTTGATAGTACTGTGTCTTTAACTCCTGCGCCACCAGGAAGGCTCCAAAATAAATTTTTAAAAGCAAGACTAGGTGTTAAGGGGGACCAGCCTCAACAATCGAGGTGTCTGGAGGCAAGACAGGTAGGGCCCTAAGGTGGGAAGTCTTCAGCTGAGATTCCGGGGAGAGGGGAGCCTGCGTGCGCAAGGAAGACAAGGGAGTCAGAGTTGGGTGCAAGTCTTCCTGCTCCTTCCCTCAGCAGGTCTTTATACTGTGTAGCAAGTAGTTAATTGCAATAATGCATAGGGTAAGTTAATTAGATGAGAGATCTGCCATAAAACGTTCTCAAGGACAAAGGGAACAAAGCATTTTTCTCTTAACATATTATGGTATACTAGATTATACGTTTTTGTGATAATTGTCATGTGTACAAAGGAAGAGGGGTCTGGGAAGGGATGCACTGGTTAGCAAAAGGTTGTTAGGGGTCTTGGGGCAGTAATAAATTGTGCTAGCAGAGCGTAGTTAGTGCTTGTTTTAAAAAGGAGTGAATTAAGAGAAAGTTGTACAGTTGTGTATTACCTGTGTAATCAAGGTTAAAATTTGTCCATGAGTCCTTAAGCCCTGGGAGTCTTATCTGAGGTTTGCTTTTTTATTCAAAGAAACCAAGGAAGCTTCCCAGGAGTTTTTATGCCTTGGGGTCTTATCTCTCCTGGGGCTTGCCTTCTGTCTCTGGAGACAGAGGAATTTCTCGCCCTGGGGCAGCTTACCTGAAGGAAGCAGCCTCCTTATGAGGCTAAGACAATCCAGTTGTAAACTGAATGTTGCTCAGAATATTTTGATATTATGATTATACAAAAAAGGGAGGTCATAGTGGAAAGGAGGGAGGTTAGCAGTGGAAATTCTGATTTTTCAGAGCTTTTCCCGATGTACCCGGAATCTGTCAGTCTATAGACGTTGCATAGCTTGTGTCAGGGACCCAAACAGCTAGTGCTCCCATGGAGCAGGTGCACATCATAGAAGAGTGGTATTGAGGTGACCTTGAACAGTGTGTGGGATACCACAGAATCAGATGTGGAAGATGACTATGAGAAAGAGAATGGAGTCACAGAGGCCTTGAGCTGGAAAAGTACAGAATATAATTGGGGAATCACAAGAAAAACAATTTCACAGTAGGTTTCCTGTAAAGGAATAACAAAGCCTGGAAGGGAGGTGCACACAGTGGGTAGCACTCAGCCAGCCCAGGAGGCTGGGCTTGACTCTGGCCGGTGCAGCTAGAGGGTCCAGACATGCAGCAAGAGGAGGGCAGTTCTGGCTGGGAACTGAGCAGGATGTAGTGTGTGCCCTAGACTGAGCCGCTGAGGCAGGGGAGATGTGGGCCTTGGCAGAGGGCGCTGCAAGAGCCACTCCTGGCGAAAACACCAGAATTTAGCGGGGAGATGGAGATCCTGAGAGTCAGCAGGCATGGAGAGTTGGGGAGCTGCCGGCAAGGCTTGAGGGGGGCAAAGCTGATTCCAGGACCATGAAATGCATCTGACTCAGATCCCCACACCAGATCATTATGCCTGGTTCACAACGTGAGTGCACATATGACTTCTCTCTGAGAGGCATGTCACACCCCTGTGTCCTGCAGAGAAGCAGCCCGGCGCCTTGACTTACTTGTTCAGTGATCTTGACCAGCGAAAGAGCAAAATGCAGAGCTCTGAGTGCATCTACAGTATCCCACACTGGCCGGATCACGCCAAGCTTTTGAGACACTTTTTTTTTTAACCCTGGTGTACAAATTTACAACATCTTAAGAAAAACTGGACAATCCTTACACAAGGAGGACCTAAGGGTATTTCTCAAACCAAAATGTGTAGGATGCAGATTGGGCTAGAAATAGGTACACTATTGCTTATACAGTTGCTTCCTGACCGAACTTAGCCTATTTTACAAGCACTACTACTGTCTAAGCTGGGGGGATCCCTCTTTTTGCCGACATAAAACACACCTCCTCTGCAAACACACACACCTTTCTCACACCTGCCTTTCTGCCTGCCAGTGAAGCAGGAAGTTCCCAGGTCTGCTTAGATTCTGCTGCTGTCCCAGGTGGCTGATCTGGGGAGTCTCTGCTGCCCGCTGGAGCGGAGAAGCTGCTGGGTGTGCTGGGAGCCCTGGCTGCCCTGATCCCCTTCCGAAACAATAAAGTATGTTATGCTGTGATCAACAAGGCCACGAGTTTCCTCATACAACCTGTATGAAACCTCACCACTCTTGTAATCCCACTGAGCCCGCAGGTGTGACCATTAAATCTCTCTCCCCACCTCTGTGAGTGCTGCCTGGTTTCTCTGGGAGATTGCCACCACACCATCACCCTAAGGCCTGCACTCCTGCACAGGGAGCCTGCGGACCGTCTGTATTCTTATTCCAAGGCAACGCGTACCCTACACACAGATCAACAAACACACATGACTTCTTACTTGTGTGGATGGGACCACACGCTCACGCAGACAGAAGCTAGGGGTGGGGAGATAGTGATGGAATAAAACTGCTTAATGGGGGCTCGGGGGAGGCAGCCAAGGTCAGGAATGATTAGCTTGTTTATACTGGAAAATTTCTTCAGGGCAGGGGAGGGAAGGGAAGAGAGGGGGCGTCAGAATCTTGTTTTACCACTACCTCCCACATCAGGAATCCTGGCCTCCAGCTGGGCCTCGTTATCCTTACTGGCCTTCTGGCAGAAAAAGACCTTTCTTTGTGGCAAGAGCAGAGTAGGACAAAGAGAAGAATCTGAGCTGCCCTCATTTCTTGTAAACAACGCCCCACCTGCTGCCCCCCATGTCCCCCTCCCACCTCTGTTCCTGCCATTCTCAGGGACCTGGGGCCCCACCACAGGAAAGCTAGGGAAAAGTTGAGAGTGAATCATTAAGCCCGTAAGGGCATGTGGGGGTGGGGTGGGGGAGTGGCAGTGTGGGGGGGTGTAGGTTAAGGCCAGAAAGGGCCAGGGGCTGAGGTCTCAACTGGACTGGTGCTCACTGCCCTGATCCTGAGCTAGGTGCTCAGCTCCTTTCCGTTTCCAGCCCTCCCCATTTCCTGTCATCTCCCCAAGTTCAGCATGTTCCTTCATTCCCCAGGTTGACAGGTCATCTTTTTGTTTTTAGTTGAATATATTTTAGTAGCAAACTCAGAAACAGCATGAAGACATGTCAAGATAGCATAGTATTTTTATTTTTAAAAAGATTTATTTATTTATGCATACAAGAACTAGGGTACAGGCCAGAGGTGCAGGAGGTGAGGATTCACCAGAGACAGAGTGGGATGCAGAACTGGCAGACTGACTGAAATACACTGCTGAGGGGAGCACCGGATAGTACAGGGGAGGTCTGCTGTGCCATGTGGGTCAGCTCCCTGGCTGCAGATAGTTTCATAGTGCTGCACCACCAGGGAAAGCCCCACAGAATTTTTAGAAACATACAGTTGCATGTCGGTCCACTGAGTTAGAAAAGTTCAGTGAATGGATGGACTCTACTATATGATAAAACACTACAATCACCATTTTGTTGCCATCAATAAGAAATTTACTTTTTTTAAAAGATTTATTTATTTATGTGTATAGAACTGGGGTACAGGCTAGATGAGTAGTGGGTGAGAAGATTCACCAGAGACAGAGTGGGGAGCAGAAAATCAGACTGGTGAAGTACACTGCTGGGGGGAGCAGCGGGTGGGTCAGGAGAGGTCTGCTGCGCCATGGGGTCACCTTTGAGGTGGGGATCCAACTCATGTTGAAGTGGCTTTAGCTTCTTAGTGTTGTGCTTTAACCTGCTGCACCACCAGGGAGGGCCAGAAATTTACTTGTTAAGAAAAACAAAAACAAATGCTGACATTGTACAGAAAAGGTTAATAGGTTTATTTATAATAAT